ACATCACAGACACACAAAACATCACAAATACACACAAAACACCACGAATACACACACACAAGACACCACGAATACACACAAGACACTACAAAGACACAAATCACCACAAAAAACACAAAACACTACAAAGACAGAAAACACCCGACGTCAGGATTTCCACGCTGGGCTAGAAGGCATCATTATCTCCTTGTTTTGAACCAGTCAGTGTGTGTGTGTGTGTGTCTGTGTATGTGTGTGTGTCTGTGTCTGTGTGCCTGTGTGTGTGTCTGTGTGTGTGTCTGTCTTCAAACGGTTACACAAAGCGTGCGCTGAGCAGCTCGACAATCCGCAGAACCGGAGTGAATCAGTAACTCTGATGGACTCTGCTCTCCTTTTTAAAGGAGGGGGAGGCGGGTGGAGACTAGAAGGGCTCTCCGGGCGGGTGGGGTTAAGCAGCTTCTGTCAAAGGAGCGCTTGGTCGGACCCTGACTGAACCCCAGGTGAGAGGTCAGGTTGGGCGGGAGGGGACACAGTTTTCTGAGGGGGTGTACCTTCATCAAAGGAGCGCTTGTTTTAGTGCCTGGGACGGCTGTGTGTGTGGGGGGGTCCTTTGTGAAACTGTGAGGCCTGAGGGGGCGCTTGTTTAGCGGCCCGTGAAGGATGGGGTGGCGTTTGCACCCGCCCGGGGCCGTGGGAGCGCTTGGTTTGTGAGTCTGTGACAGAATCTGTCAGCAGGGATTTATCTGCTCTGGGGGAGCGCTCACATCATGGCCCGGCGTGCCCCAGGCGGGTGGGGCAGAACCAGGAGTGACCAGAACCAGGAGAGACTAGAACCAGAACCAGGAGAGACCAGAACCAGAAACAGGAGAGACCTGAACCAGGAGAGACCAGAACCAGGAGAAACCAGAACCAGTAGAGACCAGAACCAGGAGAGACTAGAATTAGAACCAGGAGAGTCTAGAACCAGAACCAAGAGAGATTAGAACCATGAGAGGCTAGAATTAGAACCAGGAGAGACTAGAACCAGAACCAGGAACAAACAAATACAAATAAAAAACACACAAAAAGACAAAACCTTTAGCAGCTGATTCAGGTCACATGACTATGACTCACAGCCTGGACGTCTCATACACACACACACACACACACACACACACACAGACTCACACACACACACAGTTACACACACAGTAACACACACAGACACACAGGGGCCCCTTCACTCTGCTCTCTGATTGCGACCTTTGACCTTTGTGGGTTTGTCGGTTTTTAAACAGAAACATCAGAGCTGCTGCACATGTGTGTGAACATGGAAACACACACAGACACACACACACGGTAACACAAACAGTAACACACACACAAAAACACACTGACGAACACACACACAGACGCACACACGAACAAACACACACTGACACACACGCACACACAAACACACACACACAAACAAACCCACACACACACAGTAACACACACTGACACACACAGACACAGCAACACACAAACACACAGTAACACACACACAAACACACACAGTTAGACACACACAGTAAGACACACACACAAACACACACTGATACACACAGTAACACACACTGATACACACTGACACACACACAGACACACACACACA